GTTCCTTCTATTGTTTACTTGAAATTCTTTAGTTTTTACCTTGAGTTCATTAGAATTTACTTGGAGTTCTTTAGTTTTTACTTGAGGTTCTTTAGTGTTTACTTGGAGTACTGTAGTTTTTACTTGAGGTTATTTAGTGCTTACTTGGAGTTCTTTAGTTTTTAATTTGAGTTATTTGGTGTTACCTTGGAATTGTTTTGGTTTTATTTGGAGTTATTTAGTGTTTACTTGGAGTTCTGTAGTTTTACTTGGGGTTATTAAGTGTTTTCTTGGAGTTCTTTAGTGTTTACTTGGAGTATTGTAGTTTTTACTTGGGGTTATTTAGTGTTGACTTGGAGTTCTTTAGTTTTTAATATGAGTTATTTGGTGTTTCCTTGGAATTGTTTTTTTATTTGGAGTTATTTAGTGTTTACTTGGAGTCCTGTAGTTTTACTTGGGGTTATTTAGTGTTTACTTGGAGTTCTATAGTTTTACTTGGGGTTATTTAGTGTTTACTTGGAGTTCTTTAGTTTTTAATTGGAGTCATTTGGTCTTTTCTTGGAATTGTTTTGTTTTTATTTGGAGTTATTTAGTGTTTACTTGGAGTTCTCTAGTTTTTCTTGGGGTTATTTAATATTTACTTGGAGTTCTTTAGTTTTTACTTGGAGTTCTTTCTATTGTTTACTGCAATTTCTTTGTTTTTACTTGGAGTTATTTAGTGTTTTTTGAGTTCTTAGTGTTTACTTTGAGTTATTTAGGGTTTACTTGTAGTTGTTTAGTTTTTACTTTGAGTTCTTTAGTGTTTACTTGGAGTTCTTTATTTGTGTTTACTTGGAGTTCTTTAGTTTTCACTTGGAGTTATTTAGTGTTTACTAGTCTTTACTTGGAGTTCTTAGTGTTTATTTGGAGTTCTTAGTGTTTACTTTGAGTTATTTAGTGTTTACTTGGAGTTCTTTAGTTTTCACTTGGAGTTCTTTAGTTTTCACTTGGATTTCTTTAGTTTTCACTTGGATTTCTTAGAGTTCTTAGTATTTACTTGGAGTTCTTAGTGTTTACTTGGAGTTCTTAGTGTTTACTTGGAGTTATTAAGTGTTTACTTTGAGTTTTCTTTGGTTTTAACTCACATATTCTTTCTCTCGTTTGTGTTTGTCTTCGGCCTCGCTCAGCAGAGCATTGGCCTGCTGCAGCTTAGCTTCAGTCAGCTTGTGTTGGAGGTCTCTGTGCTTGTTGATCTTCTCTAGGCTCTACAGGAAGATGAAGCAGTTAAAACACCGAAACAGCAGCACATCTGCTCCTCCTCCTGCTCCTCCTCCAGCTCCTCCTCACCTCCTCCCTCCTCTCGTACTGAGTCATCAGGTTCTCTAGTTTGTCATTCAGGTTGGCGTTTTCTCGGCACAGATTGTCATTGCGTGCGCTGTGCAGCTCGATTTGAGCCTGGATCTCTGTCAGCGTGTCCTGGAAGTGGGAGGTGATCTCCTTCCTCTTCTCCTCATCCTCACGGCAGCGCAGCAGGGTCTCCTCCTACAGGAGAGACCCAGAAACCGGTCGAGATCTGAATAAAGACCAGGCTGTTACAAACACTCAGCAGGCTGTTACATGCCCTAACCAGACTCTTATGTACCCTCAACAGGTTACGTACCCTCATCATGCTGTTACGTACCCTCATCATGCTGTTACGTACCCTCATCATGCTGTTACATACCCTCACCATGCTGTTACGTACCCTCATCATGCTGTTACGTACCCTCATCATGCTGTTACGTACCCTCATCATGCTGTTACGTACCCTCACCATGCTGTTACGTACCCTCATCATGCTGTTACATACCCTCACCATGCTGTTACGTACCCTCATCATGCTGTTACGTACCCTCACCATGCTGTTACGTACCCTCACCATGCTGTTACGTACCCTCACCATGCTGTTACGTACCCTCAGCATGTTGTTA